TGCAGAGACCTTCCTTACAGACTCTCCATAACTGGAACCCTGCAGGGATGTTAAAGCCCTTCAATGGAGAAAGGCAGCAAAATCTGCATGTAGTCATTGATTTGTCATAGATACTATTCAGAACTCCATCTGCCAACCACTCTTCAGATCATATGGACCATGCTGCATTGTTGAGAGAAGTACTGTCATGCTCATATAGTACTGTATGGTAGTCACAGTCATAGAAGAGCTCTGTGGGTGGGAACGCAGTCTTTCTTGGGGCACAGTTCTGCTTTCTGAGAATGTTCAAATCCTTGTGTCTGGATAGGGATTTGGTAAAGCTCTGGAGCAGTTTACATCTCCATGGACTAGCGGGTGGAACAGAGTGAGTAACTACTTAAGTCTAGTCTGTCACTGCCTTAGGCTTTGTGAGATGAGAAAATGAACAGCCCCTTGCATCTTCTTCCAAAACAGTGCTTATCCTGGGACCATATCAGGACTAATTGCTAAAATTATGTTTATATAGAACATATTGTGTAAGAATGGTCTGTTCAAAGTGTGGAGCCAGAATGGGTGTGTATCACAGATGATATTTCTGCAATAATTGTGTGTGTTAAGACCATATAATTTATAGCATGGACTAACTGACCATTGTGTTCATAATATTTTCTCTGTACTTGCTGAAATATATTGACTGTCTTGGCAAGGAGTGGGAAGAGAGAGGAAAGTGGAAAACTGCTTTTGTGGAATATCTTGGTTGTTAAATTTTAGGCTTTAAACTGGACATGAACCTCATTTCCCCTCCCCACTCTGCTGTAGTAGGTGCCTTGCTTTCTTGATAACATGCAATCCTTTGTAACCTTAAAGCAGAAGTCAGGCACAATCAGTAGAAACATGATTAAACAAATAACCATGTTCACTTGCATACTTCCTTAGAGAGATTTGTGAAAAATATGAGATATCACCATCTCAGAAATTAGCCAATAAATGCTTAAAGATTTGTTGAATTAATGATAAAAGTTAAAACCTTTTTGAAAAGATATTTATCAGCTATCTCTGCAAATAGTTGTTGCAAACTTAAAGGGACATTATGAGAAGGTAGTTCATGATCCTCCTATTTGACACACTGTAAAAGTGTTCACCAGATCTTTGAAATTGAAGCCTCAGTAGCTGCAAGTGAAATCTGATCTCTCAACATTCATTTCTGAAGTTGCCACTTACGTGTAAGCCTAAAAACATGCCTAAGTATCCGTATTGTAGAGACTGGGTTTACAATGGCTTTGCAGGCAGGCAAGCAGTACCTAAACCTGATATGGAGACACCATAAGAGGAAGTGTTCCAAAATAGCTTAGATGATAACATCTTCCACTGTAACATTGAAGATAATTTTATGCAAAAAAATACAAACAAAAAAAAGGTTATATTTGAGTAGTCTGTGTATAAACAGTAAAAACTAAGCCAAAAATCTACACAGTTCTACAAGACAAGATCTATCATCCCGCTAGGTTTACTTTCTCACTAATTAGCATTATGATAAAATGTTTTTGTTAATAACTGACATTTAAAGCACTTACTTGAGTCAGTTTACAGATATGTAACTGTGGTAGAAATCTCTTATACTCTTTCTTGATGATTTACCAGTTGTGATGACATTCTCTGCTGTGTCTTATTCCGTTAGGTCTGTCAGCTAGCAGTGTGGTCTCTATTAAAGTGCTTAACTTTAAAAATGATGAGTACTTAAAAAAAGGATGTCACTAGTTACGTTTGGATGTGAATTATGCTGGAGGAGAAAAGTAACCTTTTTTCAAATACAGCGATTGTGCACACCTGTAACAGCTGGATCATGTGAAAACAGGAGCATAAGGTCACTACTGTGCAATAGAGGGTCAGTCTGCGCAGGGAACTAGTAAAAGTAAGATTTGATTACTTTGTAGCTAAAGCTAAGTGGTGGCTTATTCAGAATAGAGGGAAGTTCTCTGTTATCTGCTGCAGTATATTAAGAGTACCTGAGTTGTCCTTAACAGACTAGGTTAGGTACTGGAAATAGTTTAACCATGACAGCGTTGGCTGCTTCTTCTGGTGTAACACAGACACAAAAGATTCCCTCCTTCTCCCTCCCACTATTATTGAAGTTATGTTCATCTTTTAAACAAAAGAGCAGTTAAATGCAACAATTTCATAAGCATGTCAGGTTAAACATATGCTGTCCTGGTTCAGCTCTTAGAACAGATACAATAAAGCAAAAGAGTAGAAGGCTGCCTTAACTCTATGTGCCTAATACTAACTGAAGGGAGAATCAGCCAGACGGTGACTGGGAAGTTGTCGCCTCATTATACATCGCTCTAGAACTGGATTGCGTAGCAAGTCTCATGATTTACAGTAAAGAATTCTACATTTGTCTGCAAGTGAAGATGGACACACTACAATGCAAAATGGTAAATTTTAGGATTTTTATCAACCCAAGTGATGCTCACTCAAGCCTCGTTTGCACTAAAAAGAATGCATCAAACATAATGGAAGACATTCAATCTAAAAAAAAACCCAACCAACCAAACAAAAAAACCCAAACCAAACAAACGATCCCCAAAAGCCTTTTCAGTAAACACATACTCATAGCTGCTAGCTTTTAAGCAAATATCAAATGTATTGCCTTGATAAGTATTTTCAAATATCCTGCCAGAGTAATAATTCAAATATTAATAGTAAACATTTTGTTTAATGTTCATTGTTTGGAAATTAATTAAGGAACTGATTGAAGAGCTTATTAAGATTTAAATGGGAAGGGGGTTTGCCCTGTTTAAAAAACATTAAGAGGATTTTCCTTTTTAAAAATCGAAGCACATCAGGTGCAGCTCAGCAGTTAATTATCCATGCTTCTTACCTTTAGGGAGTGCAAGAAAAATACTAGATTTAGCTGACAGAGAATTTTCCTGTTACAGGCTGTGCCTTTTGTGTGCATCTCCAGAAAACAGTGGCTTGAAAATTGATAGGCCGACAACTGTCCACATTCTTTGTATTCTTCACTGAAAAATCTGTGGTAGTCATAGTTGTGTCTAAGTGCAAAACTCTCAAGAGTTTTAGAGTTTTTCTAAAAGAAAAAAAATTCACTCAGATCTCTCCCCTCAGCCTTATACATCTCAGCTGCAGGGAGTTACTCAGTTATCTAAATGTCAATGTTCCTTTTGTCATTGAAGTTAGTGGCATATTGAAATATGAAATATTATGTAGTATTCAAATCTATACACTGGATTCCATTAAAATGATGACAATTGTTAATAATAAAAAACATGTATATCTTTGCAACATTTCAACAAATTGGTAATTAAATGAATGTCTTAGTGAATGGAAAATCAGGATGAGATGAATGTAATGACTGCTTTTGCAGTTTTATCAGGATTAAATCTGCAGACACTGAAATGAAACATGCTTTCTCTGCAAGTACCCACGGCAAATACTTTTAAACTAAAACAATTTGTTGTGGAAGAAGTTAAGGGGTGTGTTTTGTTTTTGAACCTTGAGGTCTTTCTTGCTACTTCAATAAGCTATGAATTTATAAAAATTTCACTGTTAGTATTGTCACTGTTTAAGGATGTCATATAGCAACTAAAAGTAAAGAAAAAAACAGGCAAAATGTAAATAAGACAGTTAAGACTGATGATAGAACTTTGAAAAAAAATTTTTCAATTATACTTTGCTAGTGGTAAAATGACAATGCTTGTGAAATGGGGGAGGGGGTGGAGGGGTAAGAGAGAGAGGGGAAAAGGTGGCCTCAGTCCAAATGAAGTATGTAACTATCTTTCAAGGTAGAGGCTCCTTGTTCATTTTCAGGATCATCTTTTTTTTTTTTTTTTCTTTTCTTATTTTTTAAATGAAAAAGAAGAAACCTAAAAGTTATATCGAACAAGGCATGTCATCATCTGAAAATCATATCAAATAAACTGGGAAATTAAATGTGGTTCTATATTTTTGTTCTCAGTCACCTTTGTTTGAATATCATTGTGTTATTTTGTAGGCAATTCCAGTTTTTTGTTGCAGACTGTGAAGTACAGTATAGCTGAATAGAAGCACGAGTTTGAGAATCTGACCCAATATCCTTAAAATAGATGAGGTAGCTAATTCTGTAATATGAGAATCAAAATATGAATATTAAATACTATCTGTGTTTTATCAGGAAGGAGTCAATCCAGCAGTCCTCTAAACCTTGCTAGTTTTGAGTAGCTAGTTTTGAGTAACCATGCTGTTACATGTCCAGCAGTTAGAAAACTCGGATACAGTGATCTAGAGCAGGACTCCTTTTTACACAGCACATATAAATAGTGCATCTATTTAGGCAGCAATCAGATTGCCCTTCCCCTCACTACACACAGACATACACAGACACAAACAGCTTTACATGTTAGATTATACTTATAACAAATAGTGGTGTCTTTATATGCACCGTCTAATTGTTAAATGTAGCCTTCACATAGCACGTACTGTACGGACAACTAATACTCAATCCTGAGAAATACGTGCCAGGTTTATATTATGTGCAAAATGAGTGTATTGCCAATAGCAGGGCTGCTCGCAGGCAGGGCATCAATCATGTTCGTAAGCGTTTGCAGGATTCAGGGCCTTAGATTCCATTCACATAACTTCAAAATATTCTTTACAAAGAATTCAAAAAGAAAGGTATTTTTAATAATCTCAAGAAAATTGGCAGTATTAAGTGCTTGGCTGACTGCTTTAGATATCAAAATTCATTCAATAACAGATGCCAAGTATGATTTTACTTCTGAGATTGATTTACAATCAAGTGACTTAATATTCTTATTTTTCAATACCTGAGGTTGAAGATAGTTGCACAAATATGTTTGTTGCCTGTGGGCACATCCAATATAAAATAAATTATTACTTAGAAATATATGACAAGTTTCTTACCAAAACCTTTAAAAATACCTTTTGTGAATTTAAAGATTCTCAGTTTCACTGGAAGTAATTGCAGTATTATTCATTTGTAAAGAATTCTATTTTACTTTCAGATTCACGGCCTCTACCAGATGTAGCCCTGACAGGGAAGTGTACCCGAGAGTGTGATGAGTATGGCCACTCAGACTCCTGCTGGATGCCAGTTCGCACTTCTCCGGAAAGGAAGCAGAAGAGCCAGCCAAAACTCTCCACTTTCATGCCTGTTGATGAACGAGGCAGTCAGGAAAAGCTGGCCAATGGAGAAGCCTCCCTCATGGGCGATCGCAACAGAAACCTCCTTAACAAAAAGTTGACCTCATCCTATGAGACCTTCAGCGTGGCTAGTTTCAGCAAAAATGAAGAAGGCAATCCAGAGGATATCCCCCTTACACAGACAGGGGAATACAAGCCATCTCCTGTCAATACTCTAACTAGAAGAGAAGTTTACCTGTAGGCTAAAAAGCAGCAACAAAGTTCTTTCATATTATAAGATGGAAAAGGGGCAAAAGTCTTAAAATGAAAACAATTTTAACTAAAGATAAGAAAAAAAAGAGGGGGCCACCAAAGAGACAAAAGCTCTGCCTGCCATTTCTGCCTCCATAAGCAGGCATTTAACTATACTGTCTGCCTGACTATATTGTACAATGTAGAAACCATTGTTGTTACTTGCATGTCTAATTCCCCCTCACTGATTTTTATTTTCCTGAATTTATGGTTGCAAACTACTCCCATAGTAACAAGCTCAATTGAAAAGACACAACACACAGTTGTTACCCCTCTGCAGAAGCATGAGTTAAGCCACTTATTTTCTTTGATTGTCATCTGGCTTGTTGAGGATAACAGGTCAGGGATAATATATTCAAAACATATCATCTGAATATTGCTGATCCCCACCAGGGACAATCCTTCAGAAACCGTACAGATATAGAGGTAAATACAAAGGAATAACTATTAATAGGCACTTTTTGAAGACCACAGCTTTAATAGTCTCATCTGAGGCTGGAAGCAACAGAAATAACGTTCAGCCTGAGACTGCAGTCCAAAACATGGCATGCTTTCCGATGAATCTTGAACTCTGGTTCTGTTTTATCCATAGAACAAATGTATTCTTGCTGTGTCTCTTTCTCTCCTCCTCTCTCGTTCTCTGTAATGATTACTTCAACGTAAACACAATTAGTAACACATAAACCGTAGCATAGTAGTGATAAACTGTTGAACTTATTATTTTGGACAAGACCAACATCTAGCTGGGAAGATCATAGTAACAAAAAGGCCAAAGATCACACTATGGATCAGGGGAACTGCTGAGTGTTGGAGCTTGGCTTAGAAAACTAATATACTCACAAATATATGTAAGTACACATAACACACCTTCAGTTACATTTTGCACAGTAGCACAGTCCACAAGCCCAGATGACATACTATTTTTTTCCAATGCATTTAGAGTTGAATGCCCAAAGGAACTGATCCATTTTTACATACTGGCATGATATGTTGCAGCAAATGCTGCATGTGATACTACCAGTTCCAGGGAATTTTTAAGATCAAAATTAAAAATAGTAATAAAAAGCTATGTCAGTGGGAAGGATAGGTTGGAGAATGGTATGATACGGTGGCAGGAGATTATTACAAGTCAAATACAATGCCTTCTTTTCAGAGTGCAAGGAATGCTTGCTAAGACTTTTGTCATCAGTGTTGCAGCTTACCAGTTGCTTCGGTTGTGTCAAAGGTATGATGCAGGTTTTCTTGAAACACAAGTGCATTAAAGCAGAGTGAAGTGCAATACTAACCAATGTCAAGACTCAGACAATATAGGCCAGGTAGAAAATGATCTAATAAACACTAATATGGTACTTTCACAGTAGTAGGTCAAGATGAGTCAAAAAGAATCCAAGTGAGCACGGTATGTAAGAGCTCTGGGCCATAACAATTCTCATAGTGAGCACTTCATGAAAGGAACAGGAAATGAAACAGGTTTTTGTGCAATAAAAACAACAAAATGTGCAGAACTTCAGCTAGCTGCTTTGTAGCTGATGCTATAGTAATAATTAAAAACTGCGCTCAGACATTCAGATGAATCTGACAATCGGACACCACAGCAAGGACAGCTTGAGAAGGGGAAAGCATTCAAATCCCTGGATGTTTAACCTCGTGTTTAAGGCATGGCTAGATGGCTCTCTAGTATATTGTAGTCACGATGTAGCTTTGGGTAGTTTCTTGCTTTGAAGAATTACATAGAGTATAATCTTAAACAGCCTAAAGTAGAGGTTGCTAAATCAATACAACTCATCACATTTATCTTTTGAATTCACTTCTCCTCCATATACTGGGGTGTGTCCTTTTTGGCCACTCCATTCTCCTCTTTCAAGTTTACTTTCTTCATGTAACACTAGTTTGTCTATAGCAGTTATGATGAATGGGCACATTTTAGAAAGAAAATATTAAATCAAAGATTAATAATGATTGAACATTTTTATGTTTAATTATTTAAATTATATGGAGAGATGCAAACTAGTACTTTGCTATGAGACTGCATAGAGCAGTTACTGCTTTGTATAATCTGTAAGTACCTGTTAAAAAATGCTTCTAAAATGCTTATGTAATGTATACACATTTTTCTTGCACGTTTCAAAAGAATACACACTTGCATAACACAAATGTTCAACAGAAATTTTTTCTTTAATAAGAATTTATTTTATTTAAAAAATAAACACAAAAAAAGAACATTAGGTAGCTTGTTTCAATATATCATTAAACCCTTTTTCTACAAAGCTAATAATACAGGTCATAGAAGACCTTCAGATTAAATGGATCAGCAGTCACTCACCAATTTTTGCACCATGTAAGACAGTCATGTCATTAAGTACTTTACTTGTGTGCATCTCCTCTAGAACTAAAATGGGTGTGAAAGAATTTAAAGAATTCTATGTACTGTAAGTATTCACAGTAATTCTAGTAGAACTAGCCACTGTTAACATGCTGATTACTCTTCTGACCTGGCATGACACAAATATATTTTGTGTTTATATTTTTCTTTTTATTTGAAATAGGCTAAAACTGGTGCCACTCCATAAATAGAGTGCTTTTCTATAAAAATAAACAAATAAAACTATAAAAATAATTAGGGTGAATGCAAAATATGCAACTGTGCCTTTTATACCTGTTATTATGGTAAAGTGGTAGTTGGGTTTGAACACTGAGGGATAAGGGGCTATTCCCAACTTTTTTGAATCTGTATATTTACCTGTGTTTATTTTCTGAGAAATTATAAATAATATATTTAAAAAACAAGCCTTTTGCCAAACTCAGTTAATGGACCAGTCTTAAGCATTACTAACACAAGGCTGTGGTTTAAGTACATCTTGTGAGTTTTTTTATTAATATTTGTGGGGGGTTGGGTTTGTTTTCATTTAATTCTACTGCCTGGAAAACTATAATCAGTCTATATTATAGTTGTTTAGCAAGGTGTCATCAGTTCATATTGCCAGGAAAATTGACAATTACATTTTTTTAATTGCTTTTAGCTGCCATTACATTTTGGTTGTACAGTATAAGAATCATCCTTTTATTTCCTTCCATGGGAGAATCAAACAAGCTTTGCATGTATTTTACATTAGGGCACTTTTATAGATTGATGCGTTAATATATAACTTTATATGTATTAGAAATTTCAATAGCTTTGGTCTAAAAATCTAATGCTCATTCTGGATCTCAGATCCACTATGTTTATTCAGTATGGTTTCTGACTGGCCTGCTGCCTGAGTTTCAGGAAAGAAAGAAAAAAAAAGTCAAACATTATTTTTATGTGGGGAAGAACTTAAATGGGATTGAAATGATTGGCTGAAAGGCTACCCTAGGAAGGTGTCAAGTACAAAAATAAAGAGTAAGGCTAAATGAACCTGCCACAAGTACAGCCATCACTAAAGACTTGGAAGGAACTTGAGCACTGAAGTACTTTTCCGTATATTTCTTTGGTGATAAATATACAGTATTTCCTTAAGGAAAGAAACGGACAAAATAGCAATAGAGATAAAAGTCCACCAGTAAAGATGTATTGCTGATTGAAGAGCATAAATGTAAGGAAGAAGACATCATTTTCCAGCTACCTGGGGTATGCTTTCAGACAACTTCTTCCTAAATTTTAAAGCACTTGCATTCAGTGTGGTACGATCTGTTTGTAATATTAATCATTGACTATTGTTCTGCAACTTGGATGTTGATAGTGAAGCAGAGAACAATTTATCATTGTTTATTATGAGTCACTATGCACGCAACTATGCTAAACATGGCGAAATGTATTAAACGCTAGTCCACCTCTATTTATGAAATATTTACATAATTTAATTTGCTTTTGTACAGTTTTATGTAAATAAATTGCTTGTCATTTTTGTCTCTGCAAATTAAAATATAACATGTTCAACTGGTTACCCATTTGCTAGTGTACTTTCTCCAACAGTCTATTCCACTTTTACTGACTTAAGTCATATGCTGTTTTGTGTATTTAACCAATGTCTTATACAGCAAGAAGGAAGATGCCTTAGTAACCAGACACTTCTTCAGTTGCTGATGTAACTACTGAGGCTTTACCGGTCTACACAGTGAAAGAGTGGAATTCAGTAGAAATTATTCATAGTCAGGACAGCACACAGCTATTTTCACAGTAGAGATAAAGTACTTCTAATGAGAGCACTTGCTTCCCATTACTGTTCAAAAGGGCTTTTTTTTTTTTGAATTGAAGCACGTAGAAAACCTTCATATTAAGGGGAAAAATAAGATCTTAGTAAAAGCTCAGCTATTTCTCTTATGGTAATAGCCATGGTAATATGTATAGCATTGTTACACATAGTATGGTAATTTTTTAATCATCAGGGTTCCCAATTTCCCCAAAAGTTTAGAACCATTAACCATTCTTTAAATGTCTGTGCTAAAAAGAACAACACAACTAGTATAATTTTGCAGAGCAAAATGCAAAATAAAAACCTGCAGTTCTTTCAAATTGTGAATCAAATCAACTATCCTTCAGCGTAACTGCAGAGAAAGAACAAATCAGCTTCTAGAAGGTAGATCTGAAAAGCAGAGAAAGCTTATCCCTTAGCTGCCTGGATCACAAAATGGTTAAGAAATAATGATAACAAAACAGGTTCCAAAGTAGCCCTTTGTTGGGATTTATATCGGTTGTACTATGTTAAAAATATACTTGGGGGGAGGGAAAAGGAAAATTAAAATATTTACTCCCCCCTTCACTGTTGGTGCTGATGTTTTCTACTAAATATAATATTGCTACTGAGTTCTTGCAAAATCATTGTATAGAATTTCTTATTGAGCACCATATAAAATGCTATTTCCTTTTTTTTTTTAACCTTAGTGACAGAATAGGCTTTGATTTTTTGTTCATATATATTGGCCAGAACTTTTTCTTTCTTTTTTTTTTTTCTTTAAATAAACTTTATGTTGCAAATTTATATCTCTATCTCTGACAGTGCTTTCAGTTAACATTGCTTGGTCTTCTCTAATGAATATGTCAAGGAAGATTCTTCCTCCAACAAACAGAGGTCTAAATCTGCATGCCTATGAAGAGAATTCAGTCCATCAACTGACCCCAAATCTCCCACATCACATTCAAATGAGCTACCCCTCAACCTTTCCCAGCAGCAGCAGTATTTTAATGAGTAACTTCAATCAAGCTTTCATGTTTATTTTATACTAGATGTAGTATACAAGGCATGACCTTGTTTGTTTATTTTGTCTTTTATCTTCATTCTTCTTGTTTACCAACATAATCTAAGAAGGTGATTAAAGGAAGATAAAATAAATTTCTTGAACCACAGAGAGTGGTAAGAGAAGATAATATTAACTGGTAAAAGCTAACAATTTATGCTCCCCTTTAACCCTGGCTTCATTTCTGCCTCCTGCACTGCGGTAAAATGTAAATCTTGTGCAGAGCCTGAAATTAATAAATGTGACCTAGGCAGAAATAATTTCATGTCTTTATTGAGCCTCCTGGGTGGGTGTGTGGGGGGGGAGGTGGCATATATAGAAGATACTTAATAGTTTATAAATGTGCAAATTATCTAGCCAATGCCAAAGGAGCAAGCAATATCAGTGTTAGACAGCAGACAGGAATATTTTGTATATTATTTAGTAAAATGGTAGGATTCCAGTTAGTCAGTTCATGCAACTATTTCTTCTGAAGCAAAAATAGCTGCTTTAAAAGACTAATATATTTACCAAGAAACCTAGAAAAAAAAAATTAATGCAAAATACTTATTCTGTAGTGGCATGGGAAAGCCTCTGGGGGAAGTGAGAAAGCACAGCAAATAAGTATAATGGGATTGGCACAGAATTTTTAGGGCTAGATCCCTTTAGACTCTACAGCTGATTTAAAGATTTAACCTAGGGAGGTTTAAATGCATAATCCCTAGAAACCTACAATATGGTATCATAATTTACAAGAAACGATTCTTATTAAATTAAGACACAATTTTGTTTAAGGTGGTGTTCTTAAAGTTTGAGTTAATGGCAAATATATATATATATATGTGTGCGTGTGTGCGTGTGTGTGTGTGTGTGTGCATATATATATATATATATATATATATAAGCAATCACTATAGAAAAAGTCAGGTTTAGAAAGTCCAAAACATGTTTTTATAACAGCAGTTATTCCAATATATCTTCTGGTTTCGGCAATACAACTAACTTCTTCACATGTTTGCACTATAATCTTTGCAGTTAGTGGCCAAATAAAACAGTATCAGCTGAGGGAGCGTAGTCTTCTTAAAGAATTCAAATGAGCTAAGCAACAGGAAAAGGATCATTTGTCCCTACAAATGCAGGCAGCTTCATCCTGTTCTTGTCTCTGCTTCCCCCACCCACCTCAGTTTTTAAATTAGTCATGAAACCTTTATTATTATTATTATCATTCTACAACTTGCAACTATCTCTGCTTTCCAGAAAAGTGCAGAAGAAACAGAGCAGCATGAGAAAAGGTTCAGTATACCACTTTGTGCCTTTCCTTCCCCTTTGAGAAAATGTACACACAGCATTTTTCCCTTGTGCTCTGATGCTTCTGTCCATCTCTAATTCCCCACTGGGGCAGGGGGAACTTTGTTATTCATCCTCATTTAAGTTTCTTTCCCCACAAGACTCTCCATCAATTGCTAACTCTCTTTATATTCCACCTCTTACGGATTTCCATCACCTACACTAAGTCTCATAAGTAGAATCTCTAATACCAGAGTCTATTTTTCCTTTGTACAAGCGTAAACCTCCATGCCTTCCAAATGAACTTGTTTTGTAACTTGTACTAGTATTATTTGGGGTAAACCATCTTCTTTCTGCTTTTTCTTCTTTTTATATAGGAATGGTATTACATGTTTCCAAGAAGTAAAGATGATTCTGAGTCAATATTATGGTTGTAGCAGTCTGCTCTAAGTTAGTTGGATATATATTTGATAAGACAAGTATAAGTGAAAGAACTGGAATTTAAGGCATGAGATACTGTTGGTCTGAAAAAGTCACAAACTATGCCACATACTTTAATGATTTATTATTCAAGTCTAAACAAAAATAGAATAGAGGATGAAAACTTCATAAGCAAAACAAAGAAGGTAAGCTTAAAAAAAATATGGAGACCGGCTTTTGGTTGTGTATTAAAAAAAAAAAAAAGGGAAAAAAAACCTTATCTCTAGCTCTTGAGAGAAATCCTAAGATACTCTTCAGTATTCCAGTAAAGGATCAGTACATTATTTTCCCCATCTCCCATTACTAACCATTGCCAGAGACAGAATACTGGGCAAGGGGGATCTCCAGCACAAGGCTTTATAGCTAATCTGAAGTTCAGTAAGATAAAACAAATATAGAATTGAGATCCTACCTTATCAAAATCAAGATGTGGCGATTATACAGGTATAAGATAGGTTAACTATCAAACATCTTTCATTTTCTTTCCAGTATCCTATTTCACATAAGTTGCTAGAAAAAAGTCTTTTTTTTTTTTTTTTTGGATCTCAGACTCCTGCTGGCATCTACCTAGCTTTTTCCTATCTTGTTGTGAATGAGAAGAGAGTACTAAAATAAAAGGTGTTTTCATTTTCAGTCTGACCTCCAAGTATCTGGCAGGCATCATGTTGCTCTACTTATCTTTAAGAGCATGAAATCATGAGTAAAGTTTTCTTCCAATCACTTTGGATCCCCCTACCAATTACTCTGATTTCATATGCGTATCGTCAATATGCTGATAAAGACTAGCCAATGATACAGCCAGTATAATATGCTCAGTTAGGAAGGCATAGCATCAACTGAGGGAAACAATACAACCTGGTGAATTTAGCATTCCAAATTAACTCCCATGAGGTGCTATGGTGTATTAACTAGATACATTATTACATATTAATATCAAAGCTGAATACTGCTTTTCAGTTCCCAGGAAAACTCAGCTAGTCAAAATACTCATAAGCAATCTGGAAAAAAAACAGGGAAGGGTGACAGTTTGCTTATTCAGGGACTGAGAAGGTCATGTAAAGTTGCAGAATAATTTCATTGTGTCGGGTGACTGCAGATGAAATAGATTTAGCAACACTCAGAAATAATACAGCTTCTTTTCCCTTACACAGTGATGTGATCTGAGGCTTCCAAAAGTTTATTGATCAACGGCACTCAGAAAAAACAAAATGAATGCTTAAAATTAAGCAAGAAGTGACAAGAAGAATAGATTCTGCTGTTTGAATCAAAATGTAGGTGCATCATGAATATTTTGCACAGTTTTGACCTCCACGCCTCTATATCAAAAAAGATATAAATAGTACAAGAGGTGCAGAAAAGGGTGATCAAAGTTATGGAATAATAAAATAAGGAAGGACTCCAGTCTAGAAAGACAGCTGAGAAGTTTGACAGAGGTCTATATAAAGCCATGAATACCATGAAGAAAAATGGGAGAAAATAACAGTTTTCCTTAGTAAAGGGACTCAAATGAAATTATCAAGTGATAGGTTCAAGACTTATGGAAGATGGTGCATTTTCCTCATAGGACATCAAATTATTTAGCTTGTTGTCCAAAGAGATCAATTTTTGGCACATGCTTCATGAGTTCAAAAAATTGTATCTGGCTCACAGCGGGGAAAACAAAGGAAAGATTCACCAGATTTCTGGATTGATACTCTATATTCACAGCTAAGTTTATGAAAGATGCAAGTAAAATGCATCATTAATTTGTCCCGTTCATGTTTTCTTACCTGGACACTTACACTAGCAACTATCAAAAGCAGAATATTGCATTAAATAGGAATGCAGTGACATGACTGGACTCATGCAACAATGGTAGTTCTAAGTATTACAGCTAGAACAGGCTGTTGTTGTCAGGTTTATTAGTCCACAGTCCATTACATGGTTTTGAAGAAAATGTACTTAATGCTTTCTGAAATCAGCAGGAGGCACCAGAGCTATGCACAGCTACTGCTTGTGGAGATTTGTATGGATAGAAGTGTGACAAAATAAATCAAAAAGGTTTGTAAGCAAGTTTCCAAGGGCTTGAGTTGTTTCAAACTTTTTTCACACCTTTTGAACACAAGTACAAGACAGAAGACAGAAGATAGTAGAAACACTGTCATTAGCAAGATACTTGGAGAATACAGTAATATGCAACACCACACCAAATGAGGTTTTTGGTCTCTGGAGAAATATTGGAGGTCTTGTTTTTCTAGTTAATCTCCTAGCTACAGCTCTTAGCATTTCTAATTTAATTAGAACTTCTGATATATTTTCTGGCAATGAAAAGACTTAATTTTTTCAAAGAATCTAAAAAAAGTGTTTCAGGTGTATAAATAGAACTTTATTCTGGAGGCATTTGGATCATTACAGGTTAATCTGCAATATACTAATCATGTCATGCATACCATTTCTCCTTAAAACTAAATTTAAAAAATAGACTGATAGT